TTCAAAATTTTAATTTGAATGTCGGATTGAAATGAACGCTGTTATTGGAGTAGTTCATCGTTAGCATAAGCGCTAATATAATGAGCATTAGAATGAAGTTTCTTTATTAACTATTTAATGCTCCTATAACTTTTATTAGGGTAAAAAAATTTACTGTAAAATTAATTGTACAATTTTTTACTATTTTTACACACCAGAGGCTTTTAAATGAATTGCGAATCTAAAATATGCGTGTTAGATAATGTACAAATGGTTAACATTGTTTGTGTCATATCAGTCAGAAAAGCAGTTCTGGGCTTTTTTTTTTTTAGCTAACTTAGTTGTTGTTCTTGGCTGAATAACTCCAGGTTTTCAAAAGCTCTTTAAAATTAAATATGTACACAGTTTGGATTAAATGAAAGTATAGTCAAATTTTAGTTTTGCTTTGATACCGAAACTGGTACTGGTACTTTTTTTACTCATTAAATAGATCAAAAGTGACAGGAGAGACATTTATAATGTAACAAAACATGTCTATTTCAAATAAATGCTGTTCTTTTGAACTTTCTATTCATCAAAGAATCCTGAAAAATATGTTTTATGGTTTCCACAAAAATATTAAGCAGCACAACTATTTGCAACATTGATAATAATAAGAAATGTTTCTTTTTCAGCAAATTAGACAGATTTCTGAAGTATCACGTGACACTGAAGACTGGTGTAATGATGCTGAAAATTCAGCTTTGCCATCACCGAAATAAATTGCATTTTAAATAACATATTACAACAGAAAGTTATTTTAAAGTGTACAAATATTTCCCAATACTACTGTTTTTACTGTATTTTTGATCAAATAAATGCAGCCTTGCCAAGCATACGAGACTTCTTTAAAAAAAACATTTACCGGCCCCCAACATTTGAACGTTAGTGTGTGTCTGCTAAATTCAGTCAACATTACAGAGCACACTAGCATACAGATAACCTCAAACACTAAAAGCCAATAAAAATCTCATTTAGATTTCAGCAGGTCTTTAACACATTTTCATCACAATCCACTGCAACAGCTTTTACTCCTCTGAAATCAAGGGAGTTTTATTTGGCAAACTGCATCCCTGTTACATTTCAGCTTGTCTTAATGAAGGACTGACTGGAGCACAATGTGGCAGGCAGTGGGCAGGAACGTACATGTTTTCATTACAAAAACAGCAGAGGAGGGACTTCAGGAGAGGACTGTTTTTTTTTTTGACCAGACTACAGATGGAGGAAAACAGCAGAGCGGAATGGAAAGAGGGCTGGCAAATGTGACCTAATGGACTGCAGACTTCACATGTGCAACTCAAACATGGATCTCTCTGCTCAATACACATTGTTGCTCTCCACACAGCGTGGGTGGTCCTGTATCATCACAATGACCTAACGTGAGGCATTAAAGCTATCTTCGCTGCTGTAAAGACTGGGTTAGACCGGCATGAATTTCCATGATTTTTTATGCTGGAGATGCTGTTCAGATATCATGATCTTTCTTGTGAAGTTGGTTGAGCTGGTTAAAGTTTAGTTCACTGAAAAATGAAAATTGTGTCATCATTTACTCAACCTCATTTATTTCCAAAACCCATAAGACTTTTCGTTCATCCTCAAAATGCAAATGCAAAAATTTTATTAAAAACCTGAGAGATTTCTGTCCATCTATTTAAAGTCCATGCAACCAAAACTTTGATGCATTATAAAGTTCATGAAGAAGAAACCCATATAATTTGAGCAGTTTGAGCATGTTAAAGAGGTCATATAACGTTGCAAAAAAATATATATAGTTGGTGTATTTGGTGTAATGCAATGTGTACGCAGTTTAAAGTTCAAAAAACACATTTTCCACATACTGTACATTATTGTTTCTCCTCTATGCCCCGCCTTTCTGAAACACGTAGATTTTTACAAAGCTCATCATTCTGAAAAGTGCGGTGTGCTCTGATTGGCCAGCTTTCTGGTGCATTGTGATTGGCCGAATACCTCAAGCGTGTGACGGAAATGTTACGGCCCTTACCAGGTTCAGGAAACTTTCCTCCGTAAAATGCGCTGCACACACTCTAATATTTGGGTTGTACACTTGTACCGTTCTGGAACGGTGTTGTAAATAAAACGTAACCACTGATTTCTCGTTGTGTCCTCTTTTGGAAGGCCAAACAAAGTCGTTTGGCTTTCACAATGAAACACACAGCGTCTCCACGATATGGCGCCAGCAGCAACAATACTCCAGCGAGAATAAAAGTTACGCCTTCTTTCTTTGAGTATGCAATTGGGTGGTGTTATGCAAATCTTCCCACACAGTAGGGCTTGCATAGACTAGTCGAGTAGTCGAGTGATCGACTACTTCAACCACTAGTTGGCGCTGTCAGAAACAATCGACTACTCGAGCAAGCATTAACCATAATGCATGCACAAAGTTTGCAAATACAACGTGAATTTTAGGATTACAATATTGCGTGTATCTGTTACTTTCTATGACTTTCTCTATGTTGCATGTAAAATTTAAATATGTAATGTAATAATTAGGGGTGTGCCCGAAGCTGAATACCTTATTCAGAATGGCACGGATAATGGCTTCAAAAACGAGGAATAATTCTAATAAGGAATAATATTTGGCTGAGGCTGACACAGTCTGGTGTTTGCTAGATAACAGGTGAGCCAGGGGATCAGCGCAATATTATACACAGACCTCTAAAGTCACGCAATAATGAGTGTGTGAAGTGAATGAATGTAAACTTTATGAATGAAAAGAGCGCATATTAAGCATCTCTCAGAAATCAGAGCTTGGCAAGAGTAATATCAACTAAAATAACACATCATACATGTTCTATTATTTGTGTATATTTAAAAGGCAATGATTTAAACCTTAGGCTATGATATGATACACAAATGAATGGAATAAACAGCGCTCACCAATTAAACAGCCGTGCTGCGCATCTCAGTCTCTTAAAAACCAAACCAGCTCTCTCTCAATAGTATATGCTAATAATCATCTAAGATACAGATACATTTTCTACTAGGCCTACATGTTTACTTCTTTATCTTTTGCTGGTTTGCGTGGCACATGCACATTTGTTTAGTGAAGTTCAAAAAAAGACTCGCTTAAAGAATTCTGCGTAATGAAAATGTGCGCCTTGAATTAATTCAGTCGTGTTCAAATGATCACTAAACGTTTGTCATGACATCTCTCTGCTTGTATGATAAATATATTTTTAGAAATTAATAATTATTTTAGTTTACACGGCATATTTGTTCAGTGATAAAAAAAAAAAAAATAGTCATAACGGTCTTATCAAGAAACTGTACAAAGTTCCGCCTGGTTTTATCCGAATACAGATACGAATAATTTTGTGATTGTTACAGATACAAATACAGATGCAAATACTGGGTGTTACATGAAAATTTAAATATGTAATGTCAAACATAATTATAAAGTTTTGACAATTTACGTATGTTATGTAATTGTTGCATTAGGCTATGAATTACTAAACGTTTATTGATAAGAACTATTTCATGCCTTTTCATTTACAGCGTGAACCACGAGTAGTCGAGTAACTCGAGTATTTTTAAAATAAGATATCGACTCGCAGAAATCAGTAGTCGTGCAACCCCACCACACAGTGACGTAGATTTGTGGGGGCGTGTTTGAACTAGGCGTTTTAGGAAGGCGTGGATGAGTGTTCACTTTTATAAAGAATATCTCTTTGGGTTTGAAACTTTAATCTTTGCGACTTTACGGATCTTCTGTATGCACGAAAAAATATCTTAATTTGTGTTCCAAAATGAACGAATGGTTTTGGTTCAACATGAGGGTGAGTAAAGGAAGGCAGAATTTTTTGATGAACTACAGTAACTATTCGAATCAGTCCATCCCAAATCATTTTAGGAGGCAACAAACAAATGTTTCAATGGCCAGCTAGCAGACTACGCTTGAAGAAATGCAAGGGAGTAGCTTTGCTTGATTTCAAAACATTTCAAATATGCAGGGGAGCAGAACCAAAATAACTCTAAACCAATAACAAAACTGCTGGTAAGAATAATTAAGTTCATTATGTTGCAAGGTTGAAGGTTCAAGACTTTTTTAAACACTTGATTATGAAAGTTAATACAGCCTGCTTTAGTGAGGAATGGACAACCAAGTCTGAACCTGTGCTCCTACACATAAGGTTACGCATTGCTTTTGATGGGGTACATAGATAAGACGTGGGTGCTTATATTATTAGGAGAAAGGTTTGCCTCCCCCATTCTGTCTCTATGGCAACCGGCCCATAAAAACCTGCGATGCCCCCGTTGGCCGACCTCCCCACATCACTAGTGATCTAGGCACTCGGCCAAACATTTCAACCTGCAAAAACGCTGTCGCCAAGGGCTAACATCGATTCATGAATAAAGGTAAAGGATGTTGGTTTCACAGGACTCAGAGGGGCATGTGGCTCTGCATGAGGGGCTTTATTTATAGTTCATCTAAACGCTCTGGAGGAGGATCCAGGGCAGAACGGGAGTAAAGTATAACTCACGGATGACAGAGGTATTCTCAAGAAATATTTAACAGAAAAATCTAACCCAAATGCTGATATATACACATGCACACAACTGCATGCTAAGGTACACTTGCAAACACAAACATAAGCATGCACAAAGACCTGGGAGCCAAAGATTTTGACACACTGGACTGAATTTGTGTTTTTCCAATATCTTAAAGTATTTTGAGGCTAAAAAATAAAAAATTTTAAAATATAAAATGTAATATATTTATGTGCTAAATTATCAATTTAATGACTATTTGTTTTAGCCTTTTTTAGCCTCAAAAAACATATAAATACATGCTAATACCAGTGTTTCTACAGGAAGCCACTGTGCATTAGAGCCAGAAAGCCTATAAGAGTGCGTTTCCTCTTCTGCTGTCAAATGTTCAACTTGAAGACCCAAAGAAAACTTCCTGTGCTGATGTGGAACATTTTTTGGACACAAGTAAGTAAGGTTTATGTAAGCTGTACCTGGAAGTTGCCGACCATGATGAGTCCTGCAGCACAGATCCAGCCGGTGGAGAGACTTGCTGTGTTTAACACGCAGTTCTGGTGCTTCTCTATCACATGGGCATAGCGCAGCAACACAATCACCATTACTGAGAGTGGGAAGAAAAAAAAAATCTGTTATTTTATAAAGAAACAACAATTAAATTTGCAAAAAGCACAAATTTAAAAGACACTGAATATATATGTGTGTGTGTGTGTAATATATATAGATCAATGCAAAATTCCTAATGAAAAGCCTAGCAGCCTTCAACAATGCGGTCTTTAAATACAAAACAGTTTGTGTCAACCATCTGGATAGTCCACAACAGTCACTAAGACATGCCCTGTCAAATGTTACAACAACATTTTGCAGTTTTGCAACATTCAAGATTTCTAAAATATGAGTTCATATTTACGTTCATATTTGGCAGAAACTGTTAACCAAAGTTAATTTAAGGTATACAATGTTAGTGGTATAAACAGGGTCCAAAAGTAATACTCAAGTAAAAATTGGCTTTGGCGAGTAGAAACATGAGAGTTAGTGATGCATGCTCTACAAAACAATTGGAAAAATCTGTTTTGACTTGCCCTCATCTTCTAATGACTTCAACTTCTCATTGGGAAATCTTCCACTGACGTACATGTAGGATGATATCTATGAGGCATATCTAATTTATTTTCCTTTAGAAAATATTCATTCCATAATCCACTACTGCAAGCCAAACAGTGAAGCATCTTAATGTATATGTGACAGGCACAGTTTCACAGAGAGACTGGTTCGCTCATCTTAAGCGACACAGAGACCAACAGTGTTTTTTTTTTCCGTGTTTTTTTTTTTAAATATGCACAGAAACAGCTAAATAGTCCCGTTATCATAATGCCAAAAATATATAAGCCTATATCAATCCATTCTCCAAACCACTTGTCCTCTTTAGTGTCACAGGGATGTTAAAGCTTATATAGCCTATTTATTTTATAATAATATAACTTTTACTTTTTTTCATAAAGTGCAAGCCAAACAGTGAAGCATCTTAATGTATATGTGACAGGCACAGTTTCACAGAGAGACTGGTTCGCTCATCTTAAGCGACACAGAGACCAACAGTGTTTTTTTTTTCCGTGTTTTTTTTTTAAATATGCACAGAAACAGCTAAATAGTCCCGTTATCATAATGCCAAAAATATATAAGCCTATATCAATCCATTCTCCAAACCACTTGTCCTCTTTAGTGTCACAGGGATGTTAAAGCTTATATAGCCTATTTATTTTATAATAATATAACTTTTACTTTTTTTCATAAATTTTTTTTAAAGAAGTCTCCTATGCTCACCAAGGCTGCATTTATTTGATGAAAAATACAGTAAAAACTGTAAAATTGTAAAATATTATTACAATTTCAAAAAACTGTTTTCTATTTAATATATTTATTCCTGTGATGGCAAAGCTGAATTTTAGCATCATTACTCCAGTCTTCAGTGTCACATGATCCTTCAGAAATCACTTTAACATGCTGATTTGCTGCTTATGAAATATTTCTCAAGAAATCTTTTGTAACATTATAAATTTAATGCATCTTACCAGAATGAAACCATGAATTTCTTAAAAACAAAAAAATATTGCTTTTAAAATCCAGCTTAAGCTATAATTTGAAGTACAGGAACAAAGTTAATTTGCTCTCCTTAGGTTGTTTTATCAGTTGTTTGTACAAATAAGATGGCATACAGTATGTCAGGGTTTCTCAACCTTTTGGAAACACTGCAGTATGTCATCTTACTAGGTTAGTGTAACCTAACAAATGAGACAGAAGAAGGATAGTATCTTTACTCATTTCCAAAACAGCTGGCCTCAGACTCGCCGAGTCAGACTCACTCTGACGAAACATTATTTCCAGTATTCATTGGACAAGAAAATACTGTTTTCCTGAAAAATTTAAAGGCTGGCAATGTGGAAAGATGAGGAGAGAGTGGATAAAAGAGGGGCTTCATGGTGAGATCTCTAACATAAATCAAGCTGGTGCAATCTGCTCAACTGTTTTACTGCTGGGTTAATGCTTAATGAAAACTAACTGAGGCAGATGTGGCCCGTAAGAGTGGCAAAGTGAGGGGGGTGGGAACAGACAATAAACCACCCCTCCTTTCTCAGCCCAATCCACCTCCCAGAATACTCCTAGTCAACATTAAAGCTGTCATGACACGATTACTTATAGTACTGAAACACTGCAGGAAGGACCAGCATGAATTTACATGCTAGTTAGTGCTGGTTTTGCTTACGGACCACTATAGCCATGTTTCTAAGCAGTATGATTCAAGCCAACCAGCATGGTGAAGCTGGATGATCAAGAAAGTCTTGCTGATTAAGCTAGATCAAGAGCTCATTGAGGACCAGCATCCAAAACAAAACATATGCAGGTGACCTTCTATGCTGGTCTTTTCAGCATTCTACATATAAGAGGCTATATGTAACTTTTGCAGTAGTAACTCATTTGTAACTAGTAACTACGATGTTCGATACAGCATGGTGTTCGATACAGCAAGTGACAAGCATGGAAAAACAAACAACATGTCTACAGGCGAAGGAAATTAACTCTGTTGAATAAAATCCAGCTGAAATGGCACAGCAGCAACAGAAATTGTGGCGCGTAATGGTTGTTTACTGCATTAGACTACACTGTCAGCTGCAGTCTTCCTTCCCAAGCATCTACCGTTGACATTTCCCTCATGAATGGGCCCTCAGTGGATACGGGTACAGGAACAGCACAGACAGCAATCTGCAAATGGCTAAATATATCTGATCCGCTGACTAACTTTAAACTTTATCTTCTTGTGCTCTGGACAACCCCAGAATCCCATTCTTCTAAATGGGTGTAACGAAAAGGTAAAAAAAGGTTGAGGTCTTTCCAACTGCTTGTCTGTGTACATGGTTGTGTGTAGGTGTGTTTGGAAGCACTGTTTTCTGGAAATACGTTCCGTAGGGCGCAAGACAGGGGCCTCAAAAAACACATGGTTCCCAATGGACATGGGCAATTATTATACCTGCTGAGTAACTACACCACACTTCACAGACAAACAAAGCTATGTTCAACTTCAATCAAACTCACTTTATATTAATGGCAATGTTTAGCCTGAAAATGTGCCTCTCTTGAGCTAGGTATTTCAGATTCTGAAAAGTCAAGGCAAGTAATACGCCTTGAGCGTGTCATTGGTCTGGCGTCAATATGACAGGGTGAGAGAACCCTAGGAATGCCAGACAGCACGCTTGCAAACTACGGTTGTGCACTATTTAGAGCTGAATTGAAGGATGCAGAATTGAAATTCGAATTTGAAATAAAAGAAAGTAGATTTGAAATTAATTAAATAAACAGTTGTATAAATATTTTATAAAGGTTTGTAAAGCCAAACTTTGAATGTTGGCTTGACAAAGACTTTTTGCCCCCCAAAAAAAGCCTTGAAGTTTGAAGATTTGCAGACAGACTGAACTTTGAGTTAATTTCTTTGCATTTTAATTCAATACAATTTCCTCTTCCTGTTATTCAATTTCAGTGTAATTCTAGTATATACTATAATAGTATGTCTGAATATTTCAAATTTTATTTTTATATTTTCAGGTTTTATTTTTAGTTTTAGTAACTTCATTATGTGCTTTTGTCATTTTCATTAGTTTTGTTTGTTTTTTAGTTGCTTCTATTTATTATTCTATTTATTTCTGTTTAATTTATTTTATTTTTAATTAGCAATTTCAGTTCATTTAGTAATTTCAAGACTTCAACTTAAAGTTATTTTATTTCAGTTAGTTGCAAAGGAACGTTTCAAATCTTTGGCTTTTAAGTTATTCATCTAATATTCAGCTAAATCAGCGCACATACAGAATCTCAGTCACGTAATCTCCCATTTATTTTATTTTTAATTAGCAATTTCAGTTCATTTAGTAATTTTAGTAATTTCAAGACTTCAACTTAAAGTTATTTTATTTCAGTTAGTTGCAAAGGAACGTTTCAAATCTTTGGTTTTTAAGTTATTCATCTAATATTCAGCTAAATCAGCGCACATACAGAATCTCAGTCACGTAATCTCCTCTAATTTCTGTGTATCTCTGCTCCGAGAAGGTTTCAGTTTGTAAGGGGTGAAATGTGGCGGAAATACTGTAGCCCAAACACATTAGCGAGATGACACCTGTGTATTTATGGATCATGGGTTTTCACCTTGGTGAAAAACAGGAGATAAAATTAAACAACAGCCCTGTCACAAGGTCTTCGGGAGCCTGAACTAACTTTGGTCAGTTCCTGCTGCGAACTCTCTCCACCCTGTTTCCCATCTGTTAGAGCGCTACAGTGCTGAGAGATGTTTCCTCTAGTGCATGCTGACATCAAAAAGAGCTCTTGAAAGCTCAGATTTGGGAACACTGAGCATTATATAAGCCACAAGAAAACAATGCAGTCACCGCTGGTCACCCTTGATCGAATGTTCAGCATGCCTTTTTATCGTGGTGTTTTATAAACTTTTTAGTGTAAACAACGGCATTAATATCCTATTGTCCTGGAACGGTGATGCAATCAATCACGTAGCATTCAAGGAGGTTTTGTTTGATAGTCGTGTTATATAAAACACACTTTCAAAAACTATTCAAAATTCAAGTATCTTGTATTGTTGGATGAACAACAGTAATTTCCTTGTGCAAACAGGCAGAGCCCGAATCTCCCAGCAGGAGAACACTCTCACTTCACGTTACACTGGGTGTGGGATTGAACACAACAATACAGCCCTTCAGCTCTCAGCATGAACACTGCCACCAGGCCCAGACGCTCAGGTCAGAGGTCACACTGAACCAATGATTCTTTACAAGTCTCTCCTCTCACGGACCTGCTGTATAGTTTGCACTCGACTGTAACCGACAGCATCTGCATGAAGTATAGCTCTGCTCACACAGAACACAGCTGAATTTATGTCCAGGGAACACCATGAACAAGTCTTAAAATTAAGATGTTTTGTAATCCGATATAGCTCATATCTAAATGTTAGCTATTAACATTGGTATTTAAAGAGGATTTCTGTTCTTCTGCTTGCCCTCTGGTCATTGTTTTTGCTGTGATGTGATTCAAATTCAATTCAGATTTCTGAAGATGATTCATCCTTCCTGAACAGCAACTCACTTGGTGTCTGATGACAGTGTTTGGTAATGTGCAGTGACTGCATCGACCGCTCAGTTTTATAAATGCTTGAACGCACATACCCACTCAGCTTTTTTTGAGTTGTGAAATATCAAAGTTACATGTAAACAACTGCTTTTCCGGGCAAGTTTAGAGAATGAGCTGTGTGTATTGTCTGCATTTAGATGATAATGTCTTCCCCTAAAAATCTGACATGAGTGAACATAAACACATGCGTTATGTTGAAGATAGCTGGCCTTGTATAGTTCGTGGTGATATTACACAAATGCAAACACACTAAGCCTGTGGTTTCCTGAGCTGATTGCTGCCCAGACAGTGAATCATTGTGCTACAGATGGGAATCATTTACAGAGTGAACTACAGATTAATCTGAAATTCCAAAATCAAAATAAAGTTGAAATGCTGTAAATGAGGAAAAAGGAAGCACACGCTTAAAGGTGAAGTGTGCAATCTGCACATTTTAAAATACTTTCTCCTATCCCAGCTTAACATGCAGATAAATATGTAAGCTATCTGCAGGTTGATTTCCCCAAAAAGTGTAAACACTGATCTGACACTGATTTTTTTTTTTGAGCATCCTAATTAGCACGACACAGCAAGTTTTAGAGTGGCGCTTTCTGTTTACAGATAGATGAATGTGATTTTTTTGAGGCTAAGGATTTTTCATATAGCCACTATGTGAAATTAAATGCAAATACAAACTAAAATGAATAGAATGTACACTGCTGTTCAAAAGTTTGGCCAATACGTTTTTTTGTTTAAAGAAAATAATACCTTTATTCTGAATTAAGGATGCATTAAACTGATCAAAAGCGACATTTATGATGTTACAAAATCCATTTCAAATGCAAAGCTGTTCTTTCGAACTTTCTATTCATAAAAGAATCCTGAAAAAGAGTATTTTTCATAGAGTAAAAATATTTTCAGAGTAAAAATATTAAGCAGCACAACTGTTTTCAACATTGATAATAATAAGAAATGTTTCTTGAGCAGCAAATCATCATATTAGAATGATTTCTGAAGGACACTGAAGACTGGAGTAATGATGCTGAAAATTCAGCATATATTCAAATAGAAAACAGCTATTTAAAATTTCAATGAAATTTCACAATATTACAGTTTTTACTCTATTTTTGATTAAATAAATGCAGCCTTGGTGAGCATAACAGACTACTTTCTTTTAGAGAAGTCTTACCAACTTTTAAACTGTAGTGTAAGTGGGAGATGTGCATTGTAAACTCACCCATAAAGGATCCGGTGCTGCAGATGAGGCTGAAGAAGCAGCTCTCTGGAGGAAGTGTGCCGCATTTACTGCAGATCAGAACATCAGAGCAAAGGTTAGATGCCCAGGGTTCTCACCACATGAATAAACACACATACATAGATGCACATTCCAAAGCAAAGAGTCCTGAGGGATGAACTCCCAATTGGCAGCTGACTAAAACAGGCCTGTTTGGCTCTGGGGAGCACAATGGCAGCTAGGGCTGTCACGATTATGAAATTTGGCTGACAATTAATTGTTTAAAAATGGTCACGGTTATTGCGATTAAATGTCTGTTTTAGGGCTTTGGCGATTATCACGATTAATTGTCTGTTTTTATGGCTTTCATTATAGAATTGATTAATTTAAGGGTTCAGTATAGAATTATGATGTTATCTTTTAATCTTTTGGAGTTATTATTTTGCAGTGTAAATTACATGGAGTATTCCAAATTCTAAGAATTGGCCAATACCGATCCAACACCAGCGCTACTTTTTTTCTACACCACTACAGAAAATCAATACTGTGTTTGTGGAACTAATGGTCACTCTTTTAATCCCTTTGTTAAACACAATCCACTAAATACTCACTTCCTCATAAAAAATTAATTTGAATAGAAATATATAAGCTATGAAATTAAACTAGCTGACTGTATAATTTAGCAGCAAAAACAATATCTTGAAAAAAAATCTTTGGTGCACATTATACAATTTAAACATGTTTATTCTGTTAACTATTTGTTTTCTTACAAAATACATTCATGAATATAAGATAGAAATCTTGAGAAAAAGAAAGGCTTCTAATAATCTTTCTGTTTGTGATAATTCCTTCCTTCCTTAAACTTAAAGTATTATAATGGGAAGATATCATCTTGGAGAGAGAGTTTTACCGTGCTGACGTGCTGTTTGAATACTGAGTGGAGAATGACTGACAGCTGCAGCAGAAGGAAGATGAGTTTCTGTAAACCTAAATTCTGTCCCTCACATTAAGATATGGAATGGCTTCAGATGATATAGCAGGGCTCCAGACTGCGACCATTTTTTCTACCTGTGCGACAAAATTTTATGTGCGGTCGCACTGGCGCGACAACCGCGTTGGTCAACTCATAAGCCCTGCAATTTCTGTTGCATATGAGAAACATCAAAGGGCAAACTAAACTTCTTAAACCAGAGAAGGTGAACATGTTAGTATTCTTGTGGGGAAAAAAAACATGCAAGCACCGTCACCGTTAGTTTTACTTTTCTTTTTGTTTTCATTTTTGAAAAACTTATCTTTGCTGTTTACCTCACATTACGCTTTGGAGGCTCTCTTTTATTTATTTATTTGATTCCTCAGTGTTTGCTAAACGTTCTGTAATTTATTAGTCGGTATATAATACAGCATGTGGTGTGTGCCATGCCTCATCTTATTCGTTTTTTGTTAAACGTTTCGTATAGCTAGTTTGTCATTGTATTTTACTGATTTATTGTTGTTGTGCTTTTTAATTAAGAATAACAATGAGGCCATCTTTTGTTTTAGTCTTTAAAAAAATGAAAGGTGTGTAGATGTATTTAAGCAAAACAGTGACAACAAGATCACGAATTCGAAAGTGAAAGCATCCGAAGCCCGCGGCTTAACACAGCAAAAGAGAAACTCATTCACAAAATTCTAATCACAAATACTACTACTAATGATAAAGAACGGGTTGAATGTTAACCACTTTCATTTCCATATAACTATAAACTATGATAAAAGTTAATCAGCATG